CTATGTATTAAGGGAGCTATATTGAGTCTTCCTCTCTCAACACAACATATATAGGTCTTTTAAATAGCATGTATTTAAAAAAATTATCTCCACAATATGTATTTAATTATAGTTGACATTCAATATTATTCAACTTCAGCTTCAGGTGTATAGCACAGTGGTTAGGCATCTACACAGTTTATGAAGTGATCTCCCTGATAAGTCCAGTGCCCATCTGGCACCCTATATAATCTTTACAACATTATTGATGTTGGCTTGGATGTGATGTGAGATCTGGAATGCTGCAGCCATTTTGCAGCCATGTGGGAAGTGCCCAGAACCAGCTTGCTGGGGGACTGCTGGACCCAGAATGAAGAGAACAAACCACAACCCTTGACATCATCCAGGCAGCAGCATTTATCCTAGATGGAAGCTGTACCTCAGACCTGGGATTTTCAGTTACAGGAACCAATATATCCCACCCCCCCCCTTTTTTTTTTTTTTTTTTTGGTTAAGAGATTGATTTTCTGTCACCTACAATGGAAAGACTCCTAACTATAAAAATAAAAAATAAAAACAAATATAGGAAAAAACTTATCTACTATCTATGTATAGGTATAATTGCTTCAGAACTATGTAGTTTACATATTAAATACTGTTTTAATTATTTTTATCTTTTCCTTAAGCTTATCATACACATATTTACATGTCATAAAATATTTTCATGGACATACCTTTTTATGGCTGCACAGTATTCCACTGTATGAAGGGTTGGAAGTAGGTTATTTTGGCTGAGATATATATATATATAAATATATATATCTATTTTTTGTAATAAATATGTCTGTGACTAAATATTTAATGACTTTTATTTACCATTTTGAAATACTTCCTGATTAAAAGTTTTTAAAATCTAAATTAGTGGATTAAAGCATATGAATACTTTGACTCTTGATACATACTGCCAAACTGCTTTCTAAGAAGGCCAGAGCAGTGTAAAATTCTAATAGCCTAGGTGTGAGAGTGCTGACCACTGCACTGCCTCCTCACAAACACTGAGTTATCACTTGGGAGGCGAAAAATTGTATCTCATTTTAATGTACACTGATTTAATTACTAATTACTAGGTTTGACATTTGCCATGATATTTTTTCTTTTGTGAATGCTGTTTATGATCTCTGCCTCTTTAGCTCCTGAAATCTTTGGACATTTTATGTATTGAAGGTATTAACCCTTTGCCCTATTTGTTAACAAATATTTCTTCTGGTGTTTTGTTTAAACTTAGGATGTTTTGGATATATAGAAATCTTTAAATATTTTCCTCTGAAACTTTTCCAATTGCTATTAAGTTTAGAAAACCTTTTTACATCTAGAGATTGTATATTCATCAATATTTATTTCTAGTCTATTTTTCTGGTGTCACTTTTTTTTAATGGTTCTGGAATTTATTATAATATGTGGTTCACAGTATGTTCACAGTTCAATATTTACCTTTTTCCCTGATATCTAACAAGGGTTCCATTACAGCTTACTGAGTAATCTTTACTTATCCCACCGATTTAGAATGCCTCCCTCTTCATATATGAAATTATTATATCATGGTCCATGCTGGGCTTCTTGTCCTATTCTCTAGTCTGGCTATTTATGAGCCAATAAAGCTCTCATTATATTACTATTTATATTACCAATATGATTTTATTAATAATAAACCCACAATTAATTTCATAAGTGCTGATATT